GGAGCATTAGTTCCCTCAAGATTTCAGGTACACCTTGCTGACGTGTGCCAAGTATCACGAAACCTGGGTCCAGGGTTTCCTGTTGACTACCTCCAACCACCATCTTATCTCGACTCTCTTCTGTGCCTAGACTCCCGACCTGAGTATCCAAGTCTCCGGCTAGTACTACAATATCTGTCCAACGCACTTCTTGTAGAAGAACTGTTAATCGGTAATAAAACTCATCCTTGATCGCATCCGGGCTGCAATCTGTCGTAGCATATGTGGAGATGATGAAAAGACATCTCTCACACTGATTTCTTCTTACTTTGATGGAACTTTCTAATCTAACAACACATAACCGACTGTTAATGGGGATCCAATCGATTAGTGCTGCCCAATCTCTAGCGCTTAATGCGACAGCAACACCAGCAAAACTAGATGAAGATTCTACAGGGTCCTCGGATAAACTCACATAAAACAAGCTTTTTGAAGCGATAGATGGAGAACGGATTTGTAGTACTTCACTAGAATCTTGAATACGGGTATCGGATAGACAACAGACGTCGATATTAAGACTTTCTAAAGACATAGTCAACCCTATCTGTTGTTCAGTCTGCATTAGTGCGCGGACGTTGAAGGAAGCCAGTTTGAATGGTGCACGTGGTTTCAGAAAAACTGCTTCAGTATTCGTATTTGGTGGTAGCATGCAATATTCAACCGGGTAGTGACTCGAGAACGTTTAGATAGAACCGAGTTTCCACCATAGGCGAGCTGCTGTATAAGTTGAAAAATAAAGATACTCAAAGTGGGAATAAAAGAGAGTGTGTAAGTGACTCAGTATATAAAAAATAAAAATGAATGTTGTCAAATGGATATGAGTTGTCTGAATTTTAATTGGAAAAAGAACAGTACTTCTAGTAAATATTGTCATTTCATTTGCGGGGGGCCAAACCCGGACCCTTTAACCTAAAGGTTTAATCCACAAGGCTGTGGAGCAACTACTACGCATTTAAATCTAAAAAATCACTGAGTTCATCGTAATTCTTATGAAGCCAAGGGTATTGATTTAATAATGGCTTATATCCGATTATGCTACTTAACGCATATGTGAAAGACTATGTATGATTCATGAGCTAAGATTCAACCATGTGTCTATAAAATAAGAACCATCAAAAAGTGAGAATGTATGCAGCTCGCTTTGTTTCTACAGTAAATTTTGGCAACGAAATGTTCACAAAAGGAATGCACATTTTTAAAGAAAGCTCAACTACCACAGGTCCTTTAAAATCTGGTATTCATAAAAACGTGATTATTCGATGCAATTACATTTCCATATAGGCGTTCCTCTACTGCTTACGGGATGCAGTCAAAGTATAAGAGGAATAGATTAATTTGTGGGGTGAATTTTTCATACCAATGTTTAATGCTGTTTGAGCTTAGTCTACTACGGTTCTTGCTATTATTTTTAACGTTATACGTAAAAGTTATGCGTGTACAAGTAAGAAGAGCATCTGATGTCAATGATCACAAGTGTGCCATAGTCTGTACTGTGGTACATAGCAAGTTAATTGCGATAGTAAAAGACCGAATATGGTTGATAGGGTGTTGTACAGATAGCTGTACTTTTAGTACTTTACATACTTATTTCTCCTTCCATGCTGTGGGGAGCTGGAAAGTGACAACCACTCTCATACCTATAATAGCACTAGAATTTCTGTTGTTCACTGTCAGAACCTTTGATATTCCTTATACTCTCATCACCGATCCTTCTCCTACGACTTTATCTTTATTTACCACCAATGCTAAATATTCGGGTCCACGAGATGTTATTACTGGTTTCTTGAAACCGAGTTCTAAATTACTTATTGAAGCTCTCAGCATTTGGATCAAATAACCCAACAGGATTCCTTAGCTAGGACTCCAGAATCCTGTGCTATTGATGTATAATGCATCTCCGAAACACATGCAGGATCCAAGTGTGGTCATTTACTTGACCTGACCCAGTCAATACAGAGAACCTGCACGATTTATGCTCCGTGTATCTGGAGACTTGACTGACATATTTTGTGGCCCCACTGGCGCAGGTAAAGCACGAAGTCGAAAAGCGGGACGGGCTCTGAAACGATTCAGACAAACAATCGCTTGCTCGCTGCCCGACTAAATAGGAAGGTAAGAACACAGAGAGATAAAGAGACAACCCATCGCCTTCACATCACAGGGTACGCTCCCGCCGACTGCAAGTCGAATGAGTTTCTTGGGAAACTTTCTGCTCTCTTAAAAGTCAAACAATCGAATGTAGTAGTCCACACAGGCAGTTCAAACGAAAGTAGAAAACACTTAGGTTGGTCTTACATGGTTCCAGCCCAACGGATAGGCAGCGGCGACCACGCACTACAAATATGCTCAGACGACCGTTAATTATCAACAAGTACCAACTTTAAGCATAGAGCCATTGTCTGACATGACGACCCCTCTAATATTGACGCAAATAGATAACGACGCCACCTGCCATCGTTGAAGAAGCTCAGTGGAAAACTGCTGCTCATTCTAGACTATGATAATGCTTTAGTATGTGTTTGTTTGTGTCGTACCTGGCAAATAGAAGCTACAACAAGGAAGCTCCTTACAGTTCAACTTAATGACGAAAATGTCAAGAAGAAGGTGCTATTATTAACTATCAATCCAGGATACTGGGACGATGGATAGAATAGTGTGAAAGCAGTCCAGTTGCTTTCCAGCTATCCTTCGATTGCCTACTCCCACCGAAGCAACCTGAATGTCGTGCCGATATAACCATCCTTCTTTGTGATCGTCCCACTTTATTAGATATGACAAAAGCCCTTTTGTGACAACCACAGAGGAACCAGTTTAAATAATATAATTTCTAGAACACTGCCTAGATAGTCGTATTTTTCTACTATAAGGAAGCATTTCGTCCTGCAGATCAACAGGTTTTTTTTTAAGTATCCGCCATTAAAAGGCATACCAAGGACGCACATTAACCTTGTACAGGCTCTCTACTCCAAATACATCGAGGGTGAATCACGCTCTCAGAGACTGAATGACATGGCTTAGAAACGTTCGCAAAGACGCAGGTTCATTCACTCTGTCTTCCCTTAAATACTAAGTTTCTAAATTCCTCATAAATTTCTTTCTATCATTTCACTAATTTGTACTTCTCGAATTGTGTCTTGGATGCTCAACCTTTCCTATTGCCACTGATGCTGTTACTACCTCTACTACTCTGGGATTCGCCTTGACAATTTCGTCACCCTGTGTTAGTGTGGTATGGCAGCTTGATTCGACGTACACGTGTGCCAGGTTCTACGTTGGATTTGACTGATTATCTACCATAAGACTCGTTTGTTAATTACTCTGGATCAAATCGCTTAGATACGTTGTTGTTAAACACTAATTTATGATTTTATTATAGTGGCCGGATACTACTTCAAACAACACCCGCTCACTTGGTTAGCCCCTTAGATAAAGCGCTTCGAGAAGCCTCTACAGTTGATGGTGTTCTTGAGCTGCAAAATGAGCACATATGGTCGATTGGATACAAGGACCTTGCAGGAAGTTTGTATGTTCGTGTTCGTCGGGATGCTAATGAGCAGTTGGTTCTAGCACACGTAACCAACCGTCTTTCCAGCTTGGTGAAATATTTAACAATACAGGTGTGTGGTTTTTTCTGATTAAATATAAAATGCTTTCATCTGTGTCAGTAAAAATTAGGTTTCAACTTGAATTCACTCAAATCCATCTGGGTAGCTAGAATATTACCTACCATAGTCACATAACATGTACAATGCGAATCCTAATATTTATTCTATTTATTTAAACGCATAAACATTGGTACAAGAGGGCACCAAATATATGTGCGCAACACAAATCATTCAATTCGTGTGGGGGGGGGGCACTCCCCGAGCATTTGACCTGAAGGTTTAATCCACAAGGCAGTAGAGCAACGTAGGGAGATGCAGTTTTATGGTAGCCGGTCACCAACAATAGGTTCATACACCTTTTGTTCCATCAGCATACTGGAGCCCATGTGCACCATTGGAATCAGGGTTTTCCAACTCCTCTAGGTGGACTCTCCGTATCCACCAACCCAGTTAAAGCATCTGACATTCGCTTTTCGTCCTCTCAATTTCATAAGCAACAGTAATTCTGCGAGAATGCAGTGAGTAGAACTTCCCTGGCAGTTGTCGTGTGCACGTGGCCATGTGAGAGCATTTCGAGATGGAGAGCTGACTTTCTCCACTCTCGGCTGTATTAGGGCATTTGGAGGCGAATCCTAATAAATCAAGTTGAGATGAGTTACTAAGCTTCACACGGGCTAACAGTCTTTGTAGTCATACCTCAATATTGTCTGGAGTGTCCCTCATATACACTGATGTATGTTCCTAAAGCTTTCCATGTTAGGTAGTGTTAGTCGGTGTTTATGATCCTCATAAGTAAACGAGTTATTTGGAAAAGTCTCAATTATGAAATTATCATCTAGCTCTTCAATAAACAAATTCAGACCATGTATCCGTCTATGTAGCTATATTTCATTAACCGTATGACATTGAATAACTCGTAAAAGTATGTTCAGCAGAAAATAAGACTAACCAGTTAATCAAAGTTATGGATTAATAACAACAGGCAGTTATTTAGAAAATGGAACAATATATGTAATTTAAGAAAATGCATCTCAGTTATTTAGTATTAAAACAAGGAAGTTTTCTGCAATTTTAGGTTTATAAAGATGACTGGACGCGAGCAACAAACTCTTTTATCATGAATTGGTCACCCGCGAACAACGCACTGTATAATCAGAACATTCCTGGTACACAAGTTAGACCTGATCTAAAGCATAATCTACCGTCATCTTTACCTGCATCAGCCTCACATCACAAAACGCAGGAAGACAGTTATCAGGAACCTCAAGTTAATCCTAATCATTATATCTTTGCGTAAACGTTTATCTCTTAACAGTTAGTTGATTGGAGCAAACGATCTCTTTTACACAAATTAACACGGTTGAGTATTTCACTTTTATTGTTGTATTAACATCTTGAAAAATATTTTCGAAAAATTATAAAAAGAGCAGCGTATTTCAAAGTCATTATCTGGTAACTTGGATTAGTTTTAATTTCGTTTGATCAAACTTCCAACGGGAGGAACAGATAACTTAACAGATTCTGAGGATGTATCATGGGGTTGAACGTTGGTAGGAATACCTGTGTCCCATTTACTTGGTTTTTTTGGTTCTGTAAAATAAAAGTATGATAATTTGAATCAAGAATACAAAGTTACATGAAAAGGATTCTGAGTTTTTAGTTATTAGCAATATCGACCTGTCACTGTAATCATGTGGCTAGTAGACTTTATAACGCTCAAATTTATTGATTACAATCGTAATTACAAAAGTGATGAATAGGTTATGTGGTTTTTGGAAAGTATGGTTTTCTAGGTTGTCTTTTGACTAACAAAATTTAGATTTTTGATCGACATGCTTATTTTTAAAAGGTTGTGTCTATTTTTTGTCCTTCAAGTAATTATAGCTTTGCTATAGCAAAGCTATAATCCTACAAAAAAAGGTTAAGTCATATGTTCCTAGTCTATGGATTATTAAAATTGTATGAAATGTTACTGATGTTACAATCGTAGCTACATTTTAATCCTTTGATCTGAATCGAAATCGTTCGAAGTTGAGAGTAACTGGTGTGAAATTTACATTCAGCGTTCGCTTTATCAATGATACCAGTAGTTAACAGTCTATTGAAAGATCTTACATTTCATTTTGTGTTAATACTTGCTTCTTCAATAATAGTAAGTCAATTTGCTATCTTCACTAATGCTATGTAGTTTTATTCAGTGGATTTATAAAGGTTATTTCACGAGTCTTCCCACTCTTCTACACCGAAATATATTTGATGGATCTGTAATTGTTAAAACATATCAGTTTACAATGATTGAAAAGACCGTTCTTCGAAATACAGTTAGAGCAAGAACGTCAAAGATTGGTGGAAATGAAATCGGCAATTTCTAAGACGCATAGTGGAAACACTAGCGGTAAACGAGTGTAAGGTTCCCTTCTAAATAGTCTATTCCTAAATCTATATAAACAATGAAAAGGTTTTTACTGCTAGACAAGATTTACAACACAAAGAATGGAAATGTTTATTAACTACATTGTAGAAAGCATTATTTAGGTACAACCTATTACTTTGTATATAATGAATGTTTACTTCGGGGGTTTGGAAGTGCATGTGAAGTATAATTCACGCCTAACTTACATATCTCCAGGCGTTCATTGAGTACTGGTTTTGTACTCAATTTATGCCACAATATAACATACTAAACTGACCATTCTATATAACATCCTAGAAATCATATACGAGACTATGTAACAGGTTATCTTAAAAACAGACAAAATTACTTTGAAAATGTAGTAGGTTAGTATAATTTCAATCTCAACTGTTAGAGTGCTAGATTTGTTATTTCCGCCCTTTATTTTTAGACCCTATATTCAGGATTTGTTGATAAGGCAAAAGTGAGCATGAAGCAGATTATTTTACGAATAACATTTATAAAGTGATTTACTCATTCGGGGACATCACCACCTACTATAATTAGCAATGAATCAAATCTTTTATATATGAGAAAAAATGTTCTTTTTACATTTACTTACGATTCATGTGTGTTATGACACTGTCATATCTACACTTTCTTCAGCACGTTTTTTAAGGGAGAAATAGATATAGTTCAGAAAAATACATTAGCTAACCTATGTACCCCGTAGAAACGGACCCTCCAGATGTAGTAATGGGTTTGTCTGTGCTAGTAATTGGATTTTTAGGTGCATTCGCACTTGTGCTGTTGTTTGCATTCGTTGTATTTGGGTCAGATTTTTTAAGTTCTTTTTGCATTTTCATCAGTCGGTCGATTTCACGATTTTGCACCTTTGCAAGTTCTTCATAATATGACTGCGGAGTCCAACGATAGGGATCGTATATATCCTGATCAAAGTATGAGTCATAAAGTACTTATGATATATTACGTACAGTCAGTCTTCATAAAGTTTCACATAAATGTTTTTACATACAAAGAGTGAATAGTATAAAATAAGCTTGATAAACTCAGCTACATTGGTTACCAAACAAAGACTTAGCTTTATGTTTTACCCATAAAATAACATAGGAATCCACATAAGATGCTATTACAATACCACATCAAGCATTGGAAATAACACAATCTGTTTGTATATTCTATCAAAATGAATACCTATCAGTTTGATGGTATTCCAGTGGTTAGGGCGTTCGACTTTCACCCACAGCCGAAGGCTCAAACCTCAATCTCCTTACTTGAGTTTGGGCGATCAATTAGTATTAACAGCCCTCACACCTATGTTAATGTGTTAAGTCAGTGAATAAAGCTATGCACTATCATTGATTTTAACTGTACGTACGTAACACGTCGTAGCCAACCCCTATACTAGTACGATATGTTGGCAAGACAATAAGTAGATTGGAATCAGAGGGATTATACTAAGATACGAGACCAGTTTATTAATTCATTAGATATTGATCTGAACCGCGTAGAGGAGATACGCACTTCCTGTCTGAAATATACAAGCAAATTGTAATTTATGGCTCAAAATCAGTTGCGGTTACGCGAATGTGTGAGTGGATAATATGGAAAACATCACTATACTAATCTGTGTCTCACTAAAACCCAGAACTACCGTATAGAGATCTTCACACTATTTTAAACATATCAATATTTTATGCCGTTTTTAGGGCGTTTATACTTGTTAAATACATAGTTAACACATAAAATGGCCTCTTCTTTACACCTTAATATCAATATAATTTACTAAGCACACGAACACTAGATTAGTATCTATGAATTACATGATATTAGGCATTTGTAACGGTAGACTTACTGTAGAGAAGTTAGTTCCTTTCTCGTCAATTTTCAAAAAATCGATCAGCTTTTCATAAATACTAAAATAAAACTGAGTTTATGTTTGTCCACACGCTTACACACCTGGGATTACGGAACGCTTTGTTATCTTGAATTGCTCTGTTAGGATCGTAGCTTATATCCAAGCGCATACGACGCACTGCTCGCTCTACTCTTTCTTGAAGCACCATTGAACAGTGACCAGTAGGTTCAGAGGGCAATTGAACCGCTTGAATAAGGCGTTCTGTAAGGGTTGGACTTTCTGCTTTCGCTTCAATAGTGATTAGGTTTGGATTTTTTACATCATTTACTGGTTCTGAAATATGAACTTGGTTTTGGGACAAGATGTTGATAGGCTGGTCAGAACTGAAAATAGTTGGGGGTCCACCCGAATTATCCAACGGAATATCCATACTACCAAGATGGAATCCATGATCACCTTTTGATTTAGGATCATTTTCACCATCAGAATCAGTGTTCTGATCTGTATCTAACACCGTATGCTCATCATCATCTTCGTCGATGGCATAGGAAACTAAACCCGAAGGAACTATTGAGTAAAAGGACAAAAAGGAAATGAACTGCATTATACACTTACTTGCTAATCTAGCTTTCTTTGTTGGTACTGATGAGTTATTTGTATCGTTTTCCGCATGTTTATTATCACTTCTTAACGGTTGTACTACTTGCTGACGGTTATCGGAAAAAATGGGTGAGCGCGCTATAATTTATATGAAATCAGTTCAAGAACCATGAAAAGACACTTACAGGTATCTGATAAGACAGCTGGTGTCCGAATACGCTCATCCTCCGAAGTGTATATTGCTGGGATTTGCTCATCTATGGTTTGTTCATATTCTCCTGAAATCCGACATAAAATTAGATTGAGGTAAATGTGGTAAATCTGATAATTGTTGGCAGCGGCGAGATATAATAGACGACAATAACTAAGCCTAAACTAATAATATCCATTACAATTATAAGCGAAATCTATAGACAATACAACAGGCGGACATCACAAAGCAAATAACAAACGTAAGGAAGTTTTTTTAATATGAAAGAAATAACTAGGTTTACATAAAAATATTCAATTTCGCTATATATTTTGGGTAAATAGTTTAATCATATAGAAGATATCAACTTTGGAAGAAAAAACAATTGGTAAGACAGACAATGAACAACAGCGCATTTAATAGTAAACTAAATGTGATGAAGTTTTTCTTATGATTTGAAACCCATTACCTGATTCGTTAAACAGGCTTCCGTTTATATCCATATGATCTAAAATAGTAAACAATAAATCCAATGAGATTTCAAATTAGTGTAAAAGTACTGTGTTAAATCGCTTCAAAGAGTCTACCCAATTGAAAACAAATATATAGATATTAAATAATCTACTGATAAGTTTAAAATTTTAGTAGCTTTTTTATTGAGTTACATATTTGGTGATTAAGTAGAAATCCATTATTTACGCAACAATGTGGTTATAAACAATCTTATAGATCTATACACTCATTTAACACCGCCTGCAGTTCTTTTAAGGTCACTGTCGGTCCCAAACTCGGGTAAAGGAGGGTTGAGAATGGGGTCAGCAACCCCATCCCGCAGAAAACTTTGCTGAAAAAAGTCTAAACCATTTAAACTCTGCCCTCCTAGTTGAATGATTGTCATTCAGAAGAATAATGGGGCCTCATGATGAAAACCGAGATTCTTCAGAAGTCACGAGGCCGATGCTCCTTCTGACAACCAGAGCAAAAATTAATATAGGCACATGGAATGTCCTGGCAGTGTGGGAGAATCAACCAAATAGCTGCAGAAATGAGGAGACACAACTTAGCGGTGCTCGGAATAAGCGAAACAGAAAAGATTGAATTCAGGAGAGATGCTGCTGTACTACGGTCACGAGAAGGAAAGTGCTTTCCACGCACAGGGAGTTGCCCTGATGCCCTTTAAAGAAGCACGAAATGCATTTATACGATGGGAATCTAATGAGTCCAGAATCACCATAGCACCCATCAGAACAATGAAGGCAATCACAAGAAATGTTGTGCACCTACCAATGATAGCAACGATAAAGATCAGTTCTATGAGAGGTTGCGATCAATCATAGTGAAGTACCCAAGAAAGGATCTCGCCATCCTAATGAGAGACCTAAATGCCAAAATCGGAATGGACAACACCAGCCAGTCAGCTACAACGTAGGACCAGGCACATATATGCATCGGTCCAGGTTGCCATACCGCATTAGCACAGCAAGATGAACACCGGATTCATAGGAGTGGTTAGGTCAAAGGTGGTAATATATCGGGGAAAGATTGCATATAAGGGTATAGTATAGGGGGAAAGAATTAGTTAGTAGAAAGAAATATATGAAGTGATTTTAATCTCTTAGTTTAAGGGAAGACAGGGAGTGTATACACCTACACCATTGTGGTCGATTCTGAGCCATGCCACCAAGAGTCTCCGACCATTGGTTACGAAAGTCACGCGGACCCCAACCAAGTAGTCTGCACCTACCAAAATGACTCAGACTAGAAGTTAGTGACTTCAAGCACTGACGCCACGTTTTGGTTTGGCCGCCCATAACTTTCTTCCAACTATCTCCAACACCGGTTAGCATTGCATGTCGTGGTAATTGGTGTTCAGGCATACGTAACACATGGCCCAACCATCTCAGTCGATGAAGATTCACAACCTCATCAACTGATTTACCATCATTCCCTAATACCCTACGTCTAACCTCACTATTACTTACCCGGTGATCCCAGCAGACGCCAGCAATATTTCTAAGGCATCTGTAACCAAATACTAGTAACTTACGGGTGTCTTCTACTCTTAAGGGCCATGTTTCGCTGCCGTAAATTAAAACAGAACGGACTGCCGCGCAGTATACTCGTCCACTAGTTGATAGGCGGATAAATCGCCTTTGCCATAGGTGACGTGAGTTGGCAAAAGCCAAGCGAGCTTTTCGAATCCGTGCTGAGATTTCGTCCGACACCAACCCATTGGGGCTGATCAGACTTCCAAGATAAGTGAAGTTGTCAACGCGTTCGACTACTTCACTCCCTATCCTTAGTTCAGGTAAGTCACTCATCATCAACGTAGAACATCGTACGTACGTACATCAGTTCGAGTTGCCATACCACATTAACACAGAGATACAATTGTCGATTTAAATTCCATAGTGGTAGAAGTAGTAAATATATAGGCAGTAATCGGAAAGATAAGTGCTTGAAGATATTATTCAAGGGGTATAATCCAGTGAAATAAATTTGGAAAGAGAAAAAAAGTGGACATGAAGAATTCAGAAGATTAGAATTTGGGAGAACACAAAGAGAGGATGCATCTGCGCCATTGCAAACGATTTTGAGCCATTTCATTCAGGTTCTCTAACCATCGGTTGCTATCATCTCGCGGTCCCCAACCAGGTAGTCTACACCTACCAACATGACTCAGTCCACTTGTCAGTGACTTCATGGACTTGTGCCATGTTTTGGTCTGGCCGCCCCTAGCTTTCTTTCAACCTACTCCTATACCACTGAACATCGCACGTCGAGGCAGTCGGTAGTTGGGCATACGTAACACATGTCCCAGCCATCTCAACTGATGACGTTTCACTAATTCATCAATTGATTTGCTATCCTTGCCTAATATTCGTTCCATAACAAGTGCACTACTTACTCTGTGGTCCCAGGATATACGGGCAATGCTTTGAAGACAGTATAGCTCGGCTACTTCATCAAAATAGGCAAGCCCGATCACTACGTCAAGGTAGCAACGACGGTTGATTACATCGATATTCAACTTTCATTATCGCAGTAAGCAATGACTGAAAATACGTAACAACTACAGCGAAAACCACGTCCAAGTCATTGCTATTTACTTGGTGAATGAATACGTACTGGCCTAAGAGAACATGAAACATTATTTTACACTCAAAAATCAAGTACGGGTTTAGGTGCTCACTTTTCAACAATGACAATTTGTACAACACTGTCGAACGTGAAGTTTGAAAAATTGTGTTTGAATGTAGTGAGTTATGTAAAGGTATTTTCCCTGACTTGTGTATCGCAAATAACAGATTAATTTAACTAGTCAATTATAACCATCACTAACAAAGGCTGTCAATAATACTCAGCTGAACATTGCCATGTGCACAATTACAGGACAAAAAATGAAACCACGAAAACCCTGTTTGTTAGTGGTGAAGGCCCGTAAAATTTTGAATGAAACTGACGAACTCCTGTTAGTGTATATACCCGTCCCTATCTCTCTATTTCGGGGTTTTCCTCAGAACTGGGGAAATTTCGGGGTTTCTGTGCCATTTCCCCGGAACAGACAAATCCTCTCTCAAAATAGAGAGATTGGGTTCAGGCACTATTGTAATTTTATAAACTTATTCAGTTGGAGAGACACAACTACGGTCTTTGGGTTTCTTAACCTCTTTACGGTCTATGATATGCCAGATTTTAAGAAACCACTGTTATAAAAATTACAGAACCCAATATTAGTTCCTCAGATGCATGTATATCTAATCTCTCGACTTTGCACGTATACATTTATACATGCATACATATACATATATTCCAAATGCATTTGGGATATGGTGTTGTGTTGGTGTGTATTGGATAATCAAGCAGCCATCAAACGACTAGGCAGAGTAGAGACTCTCCACACATGATATGCAGTTACATTGCTTTGTCTACGACACAAGATGAAATAATAGAACAGATACCGAAGTGAGAACTTACCGTAACCTTGAACAGACCAACGCGCGTTAGCTAAATGGTTCAGTCCAAATGGTTCAAATGGTTCAAATGGTTGTGGATGGAATAGAAGAAGCTTTCGCTTAACAGGCTTCCGTGTCTAGTAGCAGGGGATCACGAAATCCTCCAGGCAGGAACCTAGGTGTGTTAACAATAAAAGAGGAAAAGAAATTGGTAAATCATAATGTGATGCTGTCCTTGGTTCTTAAGAATAGGTCAAGTTGCCTCTTGAAGGACTCCTGAGAAGTCGCTTGGACTAGCTCGGCCGGCAGCGAGTTCCAGCTTTTGACAACTCTTAAGGAGTAGAAGTTGTGTCTACATTCCGTCTTGCTATGTTGTGTTTCCAGTTTCTGGGTGTTACCCCTTAGGTTATTATTCGAACTAAGCTTAAGTAGGTGTTTAAGAGGATGTCCAGAAGTGTTAAGAATACTATAAGCCATTAATAAATCACCTCTAAGACGCCTATATTCTAGTGGGTAAAGGTCTAGTGAACGGAGGCGTTCTTCGTAAGGCTTAGATTTGAGTCCTCGAACTGATTTCGTGGCTCGCCGTTGGATACGCTCCAAAGTGACCTTGTCCTTTTGGAGTGAGGGGGGAGTACTATGTTTCTGTACTCGGTAATAAGAATAGTAGGTTGGTGAACCTGTGGTAATCCTGACAGTTTGCGTTCCAGTGAAGTTCTGGCTTCTCCTTGAAAATATTCACAGATGGGTCTGATACCATTTGTCCGGGTAAGGCGTTTCAGTCATTGACCACTCGATGAGAAAAACGGAACCCCACATTAAGTTTATTAGATCGCGGTTTATGAACCTTCTAGCTATGACCTCGAAGATTAATAATACTGGAGGAAGCAAAAAGATAATACATATTGACACCCAAATCGTGATTAAAGATACGAAATTCCGGTATAAGGTCACCCCGCGTCCTACGATACAACAAGGGGAAAGGTTTAGGCGTTTTGAACACCTATCGTGGGGGAATCTAGAAATGCCCTTACTAACTTGATTCCCACACGTTGGACACGCTGCTTGGATACAGTACTCTAAATGTGGGCTTACACTGGGGGGATATAAAATTCGAAACATTTCCTCGTCAAAGCATTTGAATGCTCGGTGAAGTGACCACAACACACGAAAACCTATGACAGCAGCTGCATTGCAATGAGTAGCTGTTTTCAAGTCACGACTTATTATTAATCCTAAGCCTTTATGTTCTTGAACGCATGGAGGGGGTTGCCATCAATAATATAATGGTAACTACTACCGCGACCAATGTGCATTAACACACTCTTCTTGTAGTTGATTTCTAAGTTCCAACCTCGAGCCCATCAAACTAATTCGTCTAAGTCAGCTTGGAGATCCAAATGATCAGCCTCACTTTTTACTGCTCCTCGAATTTCGACACCATCCAAAAACAGTGATGTTGATGACTTAATCAATGGCGGTAACTAATTAACGTAGAGAAGGGAAGATAGACCTAATATGTTGCCTTGGGGTACGCCACTTTTGAAAGGCTTCCATTCGGACAGCGTTCCATTGATCCTCACTCTCCGTGTGCAGTCACGTGAGAAGTTTCCTATCCATTCCTATACAGCGTCTATTATCGCAAAGCTCGAGAGCTTCTGCATAAGACCCAAGTGTGAAACCTTGTTAAATGCTTTGCAAAAACCTGTGAATATCACATCGGCAGACAGACCTTTGTCTAAGGCTGCTGTCCAATCCTATATCACAATAAATTAGTAGCGTGAACGCTTGTTACAAAATCCATGTTTCTGATGAGCTAACAGATTGAGTGAATCTATGCGACTTAGCAACTTAACCCGAGCTATCTTTTCAAGTAACTTAACGACTATACTGGTTAGATTGACAGGCCGGTGGTTAGATACGATCTGTCTCTGACTATCCTTAAATGCAGGACTGATTATAGCGTCTTTCTAATCTCTGGGTAATTGGGCGAGTGAGAGGGACATGTTGAAGAGTGTCGCGAGCGGTTTTGAAATAATGTCCGCAAGCCGTGGATGTAACACGTCAAGGCCCGGTATCTTACAAATTTTGAGGTTAGTTATCAATGGAAGGACAGTTTCCTCAGTCATTTGTACAGATTCAATGGCAATGTGATAGCTTACGTGCTAACCGTTAGATAAATGGTGACGTTACGGACTCGAGTGCAGCCTTAAACTTATTCCATTCGTCTTCGATCGATCCATCCGCGTCGACCGACTAATCTGTCGAGATAGCACAGGCTCTGATTGCGGGAATATTAGCTCGCCAGATATTGGGACGGGGTGGGGCAGATGCAAATTGTATACCATGTGTCCTAAACTTAAAGTAAAGTACAACGTGATCACTGTTCACTAGTGGGGGAATCCGCTGAATATCAAAGACATCCTCATAATGGTGGGTGAGGGCAAGGTCATGCAGTGACGGATCATGTTGAAAACCAAAATGTGTCAGTTTTGTGATACATTGTACAAGTGCACACTGAATAGCGGTTGATAAAAGGTCGCTATTGAAACCAACACCTGTAGCTGTAAGCTCTATCCAGTTGATATGCAGTGCGCTGAAGTCCCCAATAATGAGACATTCTGCCATACTCCAAGGACAGGTGTGTCTTAAAATAAAGTCGTTAGCAAGACAACGCGGACTACGGTCTATTCTCCCTATAGTAACTAACCCATTTCTCAATTTAATTTTACAACATGCTACCTCACATGTACCACTAACATGCGCCTCCGATATGACTGATTGTATACGAAAGTGATCCCTAACATATAACATTATGCCTCCCCCCTTGCGACTCAAAACTTTATCACTTCTAACACAGATATAGTCTGCAATGATGGGGGAACATTCTATAACTACGGTGAACCAAGTTTCTGTAACAACAATTATATCAGAACTTAAATCATCCACCATCAGACTTCTCTTGGACGTTTTATTTCTAAGACTACGGGCGTTCGTGTAGCACACACTTAAGGTGTTTTGGTAATCATTCGTTCTACCAATACAGGCCTCGGAAGAATTGGCTTCCGAGACCTGACTACCCGAAAACCCTCAATGGTAAGGTTAGTTTCGCCATTTAACTTGCGAGTTCTCAACTCCGTAAGAGCATTCTTCTATTTGATTCGATCCTCAAGCGGCTAATCTGGTCGGATACGAATGTTTGAATCACGAGTTCGATTTTGCATATTAGCCACTGGGATCTTACAATTAATTTTCACTGTAACAGAGTCACGGGAGTCGAGTGCGTGACTCATAGCAATTTTGGTGTAGTTTTGTTCTCTGAGCTGGATGGTTTGGTCGTGGAGCTTTCATCGTTCTTCTGAACGACCTCATCAGCACAAACTTTAGATAAAAGTGAAGTGTTCGAATTTCTCCAAATATGTTTCACAGCTTGTTCTGTGCACCTCGATGTTGATTGGTTCTTGTTGACCTTAAACTTATCATTGTTTACTTCTTTGTTTTGGTTGTGTCTCCCATTGGTTTGATTTTTGTTCCTATATTTATGCATGATTTTCCTGATTGGTTGATAAATTGGATTGATTTCAATATGTTTGTTGATTGCTGATCGACCTGAGTGCCAAGCTTCTAAAAATTGTCTGGTGTTTTTGGAGTTTCCTCTGTCTAAGATTTCTACATTTTCCCAATCGAATGAGTGTCCGTAGTTATCCATGTGTATTGATATAAGTATTCGTGAAATTTCTTTTGACAAATTGTATGCTGGCGTTCCGGGGAGTGCTACTATTGGACGTAGTGGAATGTTTGGTTTGTGTATTTTGGGTCTACCGTAGAATCGAGGGAGTACTGGTCCACTGGATTTCATTCTCCATTGGTCTTGTTTTGTTATTTCTCCTGCTTTGACTAGCTTGTTTAAAGTCTTTGAGATTTGATTGTCTAATTTTTTGACGGGAATTGTGTCCATCAGTTTGTATGTGCTCTTATCTTCGATTAGTTCTTCGGCTTTGTTGACGTATTCTTCTTTGTCCATGACTACTGTAGTGCGTCCTTTGTCCGCTGGTATTATGACAATATCTTTTCTATTTCTGAGTTCTTTCAAGACCTTTTGTTCTTGTGGAGTCAGTTGGTTGTTTTCTTTCACTTGTTGAGTTATCGGTACTATAGTTTGCCTTATTTCCTGTTGTGTTTCTTCACTGATTCCGGAAGTTTTGAGTGATGACTCTAGTGCTGCGAAGAACTGCAGCTTTGAGGTGTCGCTTGTATTGTAGTTTAATCCTTTTTGGAGCAGGTGTTCTTCCGTATTTGTTAGTGGTTGTTTTGACAGATTGATCACTCAGTTGTTTGTGTTTACTTCCATGGGTGGTTTTGAGATCTTGATTAGTTTTTTCTTCAAGGTGTTTCTTCTTTGTTCTCTATGTTGTTTGCATGATATCTCGATGGCTGTTGTCATGATTTCCAAATGTTCAGATGTGAGCATCCTCTGTAACTTTATCTTTTGGTCCTCTATGACGTGTTGGTATTTGCAGATCCTGTAGTGTACATCCGTAATCATTAGGTGTACCATTTTTCCTACACTTTGCTCAGCTATTCTCCATCCTAGTGGGCAGTTGATTGGAGGTCTATATCTTGCACTTGTTGGTAGAACATGCTGGCGAAGACACTCATGGAGAAAATATAGTTGTTCTCGAGTGGAAGCCTGCCTTTTGGCGAAATTCTCCCATTTTCGAACAACGAGAAGCGTATTACGCTCATATGATTTTGAGATGGTGGAGAAGATTTGTAGCTCAGGTGGATGATTTTGGTGGAGTTTTGTTCTCTACAGTCAATCCTATGCAAACCAAAAGATAAAATAACAAAGGAAGACAAATCAAACATCATCTACAAAATAAATTGTACCAACTGCGACAAACACTACATCGGACAAAGCGGACGCCCCCTCCACCTACGCCTACATGAACATCAATTAGCAGTCAGATGCCATGGTATCTCTTCACTTATATCAATACACGTGGATAACTACGGACACTCATTCGATTGGGAAAATGTAGAAATCTTAGACAGAGGAAACTCCAAAAAC